GCGAGATCTCCAAGTCTACCGCGGGTCCTGTCACCGATGGCGGCGTGCCAAATGTTTATTTTTACGTCCTGTCGGGCGATCTGGGCAGGGCCAATGGAGCACCCTGACGTCAGTCAACTTTGCCAAAATTTTTATTCACCGATAGCACAGGAGTGTATATTGTGTATAACGCGTTCCTCACGCGGTAATAGGTGAACTGCTACATTTTAACAAAGCTATTGTGCAGCGAAAAACTCACGAAAACTGTAAGAAAATAGCAGGAATGAATTTTTAATAACCCCTTTGTCTCCGGTGAGTTTCGGCAAGTTTATAAACCTTCAAATAAAATGGGGCGTACCGGCTGTAGTAGTAGAACTTTGTATTTCATTGTGACATCTTGTACTAAACTGGCTTGTTGAGGTCTACTCATCTTCTCATAAGCAGACTGCGTCAAGTAGTCTCTGTATTACGAAAATTAGGAACGTTTGCACATCAAAATCCCGCGGCAAGCGTCTCACCCCTCACATGCAAACACGTACACATAAAATAAATAAACCCTTGCATCAACAATCAACGATCCGACCACGTCCATTGACGTACGTATTACCCTGAAAGCAAGTACTTCCACGGCCAAGCGGCTGGCAAAAATTCTTCCGGTGGAAAAAGCATTCTAGTTCTCGATGTTACTTGTGAAAAACGTTGTTTTGGAATGAATCGGGATGAGAAAAATACAATGCTGCTTGCAGGACTGAGGCGGAAAATCGCTACAATCGCCAGGGCGGCCGGAGTCTCTGGGGCGGAGCATCAAGCCTTTGAGTTTGAAATCTTGCCGCCAGCCAGTGGGCGGGTCCCCGTCTGTGTCCTGTGATTGGTGCCGCGCGGTGTGCTTGCTATGCGGCTTACGTGCCGTTTCTATGGCAACGTGGCCCAGTCACAGAAATGTATCAACTCTTGTTCGTCGCTGATCGCAAACACAGCCAAGAGGCGTAAAGAACTTTTTAATTATGCTTCGCCCCCCTCTTTTGTATAATGTTTAATCTCCCTTCCGCAGCTCCGTGCGTCGACCTCCCCTATCTAGGAGAAAAATGAACTTCTGGCTACATGGCACGTGGATGTGTTAGATTTTATATCTGAGATAGCGCGGGTCGGGTGACATCAAAAGCAGTACTTAGCGGGCCGTCCACATGGCAAGGTCAGACAGAAATTTTCGTACCAAGAAGGTTGTATTATTTTGTTATCGTTCTAAACATTACTAAGCCACTAAAATTTTCGATATTAAAAAAGAAATATTTGATTAATAACACTAGCGGTTTGTGCTAATGTTACCATCATGCATAATTTGGAAACAAACATGCGCCGCACCGTCTGTCTGTAAAAATCTTAGTCAACATGGTTCCCGAAAAATCCCGGAATATCCCGATAAATCCCGATTTGATGCTTATCCCATTAGCTGTACTGTATTATCCCGAAAAAGACTGAAACTGTCTGACAAAACGTAATGTTATATCCATGTTATATCATGTCATCAGTAATAAACGTAACAAACGCCCCCTCCCCGGCCCGCACCTACATTACAAAGTCGACAATAGTTACAGATGAACACAATTCTGTTTACTTTATTTTCAAAACGGCAGCAAGCCTAAATCTCTATACATACGAGATTCTATCAAGTCAGGAGCTAGTAAATTATGAGCGTTTTTTTAATTTGAGCCGGCGGTGACATGCAAAAATTACACAAAGTCGCCGGCGTTCTGTGGAAATCTGCAGTCGTACTTGTTGATATTGAACCCAAACCCCCAGTGCAATATTCTCTACTCGTGACTGGTATTCATATGGCCGTATTTCTACGAAGGAAAATGAAAACTTACCGCTACATTGGTCCACTGATGTCTTCTCGTGTCATACAAGGGCGGATGCCCATATTTGGAAAGCTCGGGTGTTCCGTGCGTAGCGCTAGGGTCAATGACCCGCGGTTATCGAACACGCTGTTCCATTGTTCCATGGTTGTTCGAATGTTCCAAACGCGTTCTTTTTGTTCGATTTTTGGCTTAAAATGCAACTTTTTTTACCCATTTTTTGCCAATAAAATCATTTTCTGACATCTATGTTGGCCAAAATGACCAAGGTTCAATGTCTAACGTATCAACCTACTAGCATGCTGAATTTCATTTTCCTCCAAGCTCTAATTACGAAAATATGGACGTTTTTTAGGTGTTTGGAACGGAAGAGGAGGAGGAGGAGGAGGAGGAGGAGGAAGAGGAAATAGAGCAAATATAATATGTTTCCTTCGGTAAACATAAAAAAAAGACACC